TTGAACGCTTGGCTCCACACTGGTTGCAGGTAGCTGTCAAAAGAATTGCACACAGCCAGAGCATGAATTTTTGATGGTTTCGTCCTCCTGGGGTCAAGTGATCACCATCCGCGGCCATCCCAGCTGGCTTCTGACAAACAAAGTCGATAGGGGGAACCGGATTCAGTCCACAACCTTGTGATTCATGTAACAATTGCAGTGATTTGCTTAACAACCATGGCAAAGAAGGTCATAAGATTCAGCGCAACTCACTTAGCAATCGGCCTGCTTGGCAATGGACATTTTGGTTTCCAGAGCAACAAAGATGATCAGGGGACTGGAGGCTAAAACATATAAGGAACGGTTGCTGGAATTGGGTATGTCCAGTTTAATGAAGAGAAGGGCGAGGGGGGACATGATAGCAGCCTTCCAATATCTCAGGGGTTGCCCCAAAGAAGAGGGAGTCAAACTATCCTCCAAAGCGCCTGAAGGCAGGACAAGAAGCAACGGATGGAAACTAATCAAGGAGAGAAAGAACCTGGAACTAAGGAGAATCTTCCTGACAGTTAGAACAATTAACCAGTGGAACAACCTGCCTCCAGAAGCGGTGAATGCTCCAACACTGGAAGTTTTTAAGAAGAGAATGGATAGTCATTTTTCTGAAATTGTATAGGTTTTTCTGCCTGAGCAGGAGGTTGGAGTAGATGACCTACAAGGTCCCTTTCAACTTTGTTATTCTGTTCTGTTCTTGTGTAATAGACCACTGGTGTTCAGGAATTTGGCTGAGTAGATGCTTCCTGGAACCCCAATGCTTGGTCTTTCAAGAAGCCTACACTGAACTGACCATGTAGGGCAGGGATCAATGACTAGAGGGGAAGGGATATGCAAACAGACTAATCTGGTCAACAGGAACTGAACAATTCCTATTTTGGTCATCAACTGTCAAATAAATGAAGTCTCCTAGATCTATGTCCACCGTAAGAACGGGGACAGGAGAAGATGAAGAGCAGAGCTATCAGAATAGATCAAATTGAGGTGATTGGCAGCTGTTTCAGCCCTGGGCTAAATATAGGATTAAAAGGATTGTAGGAGGACATCACACTAAAACGTCATTTGGGCAAGGTGATGCCATAGCTAGAGGATGTAATGATGAGCTGTTTGTAAAAATGGCACACTCATTCTGCTATATTAGATGTTGAATTGAGCAGACCATGTGCTAAATATTTTCTTCCTAGGAGAAAGGAATGAACCACTGAAAACACGAAAGTCTTCTGATGAACAGGTCCATCCTTTGTGTCAACCTCAAGCAAACCACTAAGGCCAAAAAGGAGAAGCACAGAGAAGCATGATGCCACAGATGTATACACAATTTCTACCTAGAATGTCTTTTTCCAAATCAAGTACTCAAATCAACAGTGGACTCTTGGCGACATCTGCTATAGGAGAAGTAATAAAGCAAACTTGTTCCATTCTTGTCCCTTTTCATCTTAGTCTTTTCTTTTGTCTGCCCTACCTCTAATGTTGGAAGAGAAGGACGAAGATGGTCCTCAAAGGACAACAAATGCTGCATTTCTTCATCTCAGGTGTGCATAATGCAGATGTTGCAACATCAGCAGCCAGTAGGGGCTGCTGCTGCCCTTTGATGTTTCTCCCCAAAAATGACTTGAAGCATGGCCAGATATGGCTCCTTCAAAGTCCAGTCTCTTCCTCTCTAGAGT